GCCGCAACCAATGCAGCACGTTGTCCCCTCCCCCCCCCCCCCCACTTCTAAGCAAACCTGGACCCCTGCACAGCTGACGGGCAGTGTTACAACTTCTCCACCCCGCGTGAGGGGGTTTGAGTTGTGGTCCTGAATATCGGTCAGGATATCCAACAGCGGCGCGGCTCGCATGTTGACATGCCGGCGTTCCGCCCTGTGCAAGTGCATATGCATGCAGTGTGTTGCGCGTGATCTCAGTCCGAAGGGTGCAGCCTCCCAAGTGCGGCAGCAACCTGCACATTCCGTCGGCACTTGTGTTTATGGGCTAAATACACCTGTCCATGCACTACAATGTGTGTATATACCTGGCATGGCATGTGTCTACGTAGCTGGGCAAGTCTTGCAATTGAAGCGCAGGCAACAGGCATCGGTGCGAAAAGGGCAGCAGGCCAACCGGGCCTGGGCTCGCTGTGCATGCGATTGCATCTTCCCCCTTGCCGTGCCGCCCCCGCGTTGTGAGGCTTGTGAATTTTGCGGAGAGCCAGCGGTGCTGGCACACATTTGAGTGCGCCAATGATGAAGAGAGCGGCCGCACCGGTTCATCTGCCCGCGTTAATCAGGGCCGGGTGAGCAGGGCGGGGAAGGGCTGGCGTTGATGGGGGTCGACGGACTGCTGGCAGGCCGTGCGCAGTCCGGCCTGCACCTGCACGGGCCGCGCAGCGGGCGGGCGCGCGGCTCCGCCAGCGGTGGGCACAACGGCGGTGGGGGTGGGGATCGTGACGGACAGATGCTCACTGCGCATCGGTGCGTGTCCGGAAACGTTTTGGGCATTGGGGCCGGGGGTTTCGCAACACGGCCGGCCTGCTTGAGTTATTCGCCGCCACACCCCTCACATCATGACATTCCCCACTTGGAGCGCCCGCCACCATGGAGGAACCCCCCTCAAAAAGCGCAATATGGAACAAAATACATGGCCGTATGCCGCAGGCCGGCAGCGCGGCCGGTCAGCGCGCCGGCTGCCTGCATCAAAGGCAGCGGCGACGGTGGCGGCGGCAGCAGCTGCGGCGCGCATGCGCCTTCGGAGGCGCTTGCTGAGAGGCGCCAATAATGGCCGCCTCGAGCCCGGCGCCGGCAGGGAGGTCAGCAGGCGGCAAATGTGACTGTGCCCCGCACCTGGGTGCGCCGAGCCCGCCGCGGCTGCATGCGGCGCGGCGCGTGGCTGGCTCGTGGGCCAGCTGTCGTACAGACAGGCCTGCGATTATTGGATGCGCTTGTCATGCGAGCGCGAGGGCGAGGGCCCGCCGCCGCCGCCGCCTGCCAAAATATGGGGCACTGAGGTCAACCGTCGGCGCCGGCGCGGTGACGGGAGGGGGCGGCGGCGGGGAGGGGACGGGGTGGCACCTGGTGCGGGCGTTACGCCAGGCGGGGGGCAGCGGGAGGGGCAGTTTTCGGGCAGCAGCGTAGCACGGGGTGCAGGCAGGGGTTGCGGCGGGATGCATGTTTGGGCCTAGCAAGTACAGGGTGTGCTGCCATGGCGGAAGGAGGAGACCATCAAGGATCGACATGTCTGAGGTTGACGTTGGAGAAGTTGAAGGAGCGCGTGCAACGCACACACGCACGTCAAGCCCGCGGCATGCGCGGCAAACGGCGCCGCATGTCGATCGCGCACCCGAGGTAAGGGGAGCAGGGCGCGCTGTCGTACACCACCGCCTCCAGCGCGGCGCTCGGCACTTGCCCCCGTGCGCCGCCCCCGCCGCCACTCTGTGGCGCGCGCCCCCCGCCGCCGGGCTGGTCAAACGACAGCGGCGGCGCCGACCGGCCCCTTGGCGGCGGCGGCGGCGGCGGCGGCGGCGGCGGCGGCGGCGGCGGCGGCAGCAGCGGCGAGCGAGGCTTTGGCCGCGGCGCAGGCGGCGGCGGTGGCGGCGGGAGCGGCTTGGTCTGCTGCCGCACTGCCGGCGCGGTCGCGCCGCCGCCGGTTGTGGGCACGAAATTTTTCAAGTTGCAGACCCGCAGTAGGAGCCCCTGTGGCAGGAAGTTGTCCGGCCTGTCGATTACCCTCGCGTTCAGGGACAGCAGCGCCTCGATCGGGACGCCGAAGGTCGCCGCAACCTTGGACACGTAATCGCCGGGCCGGGCTGGAGTAGGGGTGGGCCGCGTGATAAAGGGGGGCAAGGGAAGGGGCTTGAGAGGCTGCTGACAGCACGCCGCGCCGCGCACAAGGGGGATTCATGGTTGCCCCCAAGGCCCTGGCTTATTCGAGGGTGCACCTGCGGGAACCCCACTGCTGGTGCCGTGTGTGCACAGCCGTGGCAGGGGAGGGTGGGGGTGCTGGATAATAAACAGGGCTGGCGGCCAGGCGCATGTGGCTGACAGCGGATGCATGTCAAACATACGCACACACAAATATACTTTACACGCTCATGTCGGTGAAGGCATGTGCGCCGGCATAAATGCACCTCAACGGCCCCTGAATGCTGGGTTGGGGGTCCAGGCGAGGCCCGAGGGCATGAGTAAAGGTAACCCCCTTGAAGCGTGGCAACATACACACGTGCAGCAGACCCGCGGCAGAGCCGCGGGGCCCCCACGCACCCGCGTAGGAGTAGCAGCCGGCCTCTTGCAGCGGGTAGATCACTGGGGCACGCGGCAGCAGGTCCTTCGACGCGGGCGCCCACGTGACCCCGTACGTCTCGAGGGGGTCAAACATGTTCATGGTGCCGTACCGCACCTGCCGTGTGGTGAGTCATCAATCGGATTTGGACGTCAGCAACTGAAAGCTGCTAATGACACACGATCGTGCATGGAACAAAACACCTGGGCCGCAGAGCAACGTCGCAGCGTGCACTGAGCTGCCGAATGGGTGCGGGCGGCTGGCACGAACCGCACCCTAAGCTTGTAGTGACAGGGATCAGGCTTTGACTAGCCTCGCTCATATGGCGGCAAATCGCTTGCCCACTCACCTTTGCAAACCCGCCATCAGCCCTTGATTTGCCGCAGAAGCAGAGGGTTTTGGGGGCGAGGCAGCGACAATGAGGTGGTGTGAGAAACTAGGTCCGACATGGCCGACAGCGAGGGGCCTCTGCCAGGCCCACCATCGTTTTCTGGCCAGCAAGCGGGGAGCCGACGCCAAGCAAGGCACTGAGCTGCGCAGCTGGGCGCACGACGACGACGTATGCATGCAAATGCTAAGGCATCCCCGACCGTATCTGCGGCGGCAGCTCACCAGCCGACGCCCCAGCTGTCGTTGTTTGTTGCATGCATGTGAAAAGCGGCGTGGGGGTGCACATCGCTTGTGAGGTTTTTTGGCCAGGGTGGACTGAGTGCTTGAACAGCTCTGTTGGCCGACCCTGTCAAGCACTTACAGCAGCAGCAGCACCAGCAGCAGCACCAGCAGCGGCAGCACCAGCAGCAGCAAGTTTCGAGACCGCCATCCCGTTTGCCGTTGCTGTTGCCGTTGGAGCGGCCGGCATGAGGCGGCGCGGCGCTCCGGCCGTCGGACTGCTCTGCCACCTCATCGTAACAATACCAGTGCATGGTCTCTCTGGCAGCAGGAGGGCTTGGCCGGCACCGGCGGCAAATGCGCGGCCCTGGACCCGCAGCCAACCCGTTCTACACCCTGAAATGCGTCGGCGGCACGGAATCCCGGACTTGCGGCCTTTGCGCACCTGTTCTTGATGATCCAACAGCGCTCCATGTTGTTGTAACCAACCTGGGATTTGTATTTTTTGTGGGGTACGAGAGGGTCAGAAGGTGGGGATTGATCTGCGGCTCGGCGTGGTGCCGCGTGCGTGCGCTCTGGAAAGCAAGTAGAAGCAAGCTGCTGCAGTGCTTGCCTTGAACAACATGCGCAGCAGCGAGCGGGCCGCAACCACGCAGGGGAGGCAGGCTGCATGCCCCGATGCAGGGTGCGGCTCGCGGCGGCGCGTCCACTCGGCAGCGGGAGCGCGTGCAGCGCGTGACCCCGCTGGGCGCAGAGCCTCACCACGAATACTGCATGGGGCATGCTTTTGCTGGGGTCGGCGGGCGCGCCTGCATATTGGCAGCGCAAGGTGAGCGATGGCACGCGGCATCCACATTGGAAGAACAAGTGCGCGAGGGGACGTGCCGACATTCTTGGCGTCGATTGCCCCCTCGTCGGACGCCCTGGGCGCGGCCCCATCTGCCCCGCACGCGGTATTTTGGGCTTTGCAGGCCCGATTGGGCGGAGCATCCCACTTATAAAGCTTTGCTGGTATCTCGTACCCCCAGGACTTCAGGTCTGCAGATCTCAGATCTCAGATCGGACCAGCCCTCACCCCCATCGTCATAGACCTTGGTCCTGTTGGCGCCCTGGAACCACGCCCTGAAGCCCCTAGGGACGTCCATGCGCGTGATCACGCCTGCAAGGTGGGGGTGGGCGCCAAGTGTGAAGCGAGCCCCCCAATGTGCAACCTGACAGCTCAGCTCATCCCTCCGGGTACTCCATCGCCTGCACAAGCAGGGTGAGTGCAGCTCTGCTCTACAGCACCCCTTCAAGCGCCTTTGTGCGTTGCCACAGCTGGCGACACCCACAGCCGCACATAGGCTGGGAAGCCAAAACGTGCCTGGGCCTGGGGCACCCTTTGCAGCGCCCATTGAGACAACATGGCAAGTACGATCAACAGCAAACAAATGCAACCGACCAAACCCCTATCACCATCAACCAGAGCGTGCAGGCAACAACAAACTCTGTCTGCGCCTTGCCATGATGGCGCTACGGCGGCACAGCCCAGGGCAAGCGCTTGACCCCGTTCATCGGCCCCGCATTTGCCCTTCAACGCGCCGCTGCCCCTCACCTCCCCAATCGCGTATGTGCCTCTGCACGCGGCTGATCGTGGCCAGGGGCTGCACCTTGGTATAAGAAAAGGAACCTGGGGGGCTCACGGGCGAGCTGCAGCGAGGGGTGCACAGATCTGCGGCCGTGGAGGGTGTGGCACGCAGAAATCAACATGTGTGCGTGTGGGTGTGCGTGCGTCTGTGTGTATGTGTGTGTGTATGTGTGTGAGAGAGTGAGTTGTGTCATACGTACGGGGTGAGGGTGGAAGATCAGAGCACAAGTGTACAACACTTCTAGTCTGTGAGGTCTGCGGAAGGTAGAGCATCGCTGCTTGGGCTGTGAGGGTGGGATTGCGCGCCCGCAGGCAGGCGCCCGGCCCGCAGCGCAGGCGGCCCAGCAAGGGCCATGCCGCCGTCCAGCGCCGGTTTCGCGGGGTTTGACCGGTCAAGCGCGCGCGGCGCGGCGCACCCTGGAACGGGACGCCCTGGACGTTGTCAAAGGGGAGGCACTCGGCGGACTTGAGCTGCTTGCGCGTGCGCAGCTCCACGAGCGCGCCGACGAAAGTCCAGCCGCTCTGGCAGTCCGCGTCGCTGACAGCTGGCGCGTCCATCCGCAGGCGAGGGCGGCGCGAGAGAGCGGTTGCATCCGTCGCACCGCCGCGGTGGCATCTTTGGTTTGGCGACACACTTGGGCCGCTGCTGTGTGCTTGATTGAATGCTGCCAACTCCGTTTGCATGCCTACTGGCACCGCATGTGCAGCAGCCAACGTCACTTGCAAGGGTCCTTCACTTTTGCCGCCCAGTCTCGAGGCACCACCATGGCTGCATCCCGCATTGCCAAACACTACTTCATGCCTGGACAGCGACAGCTTTGTTCAGGTTGGAACACGCCCGCCCCTCAGCCTCTCTCCGCACCCCGAGCCCTCACCACCGCAGAAGAACAAGTCGAGCGGCGACAGCCGCGGCACGCCGCCGCTTGTGCCCGCGTCACGCAGCGCGCTGCCGATCGCGGCCTCCGCCGCGGCAGTTACCGCAAAGGAGACGCACGCGCTGCAGTCGCCTGCGGGGGTGGGGCGGGGTTGGGCGGGTTACCGCGAGGGCGGCCGAGGAGGCGGGAAGTGAGGCGGCTTGGCGGGGCGCCGGCAAAGCAAGGTCGCCGTATCTACTGCTTGATCAAGTGCAGTCCTCTCTAGCAGCTGCCGCACAAGCCATTGGACGGCTAAGCACACGGAAACGTTCCGCTGCCGTGCACTGCGTCGGCGCACAGCCAACCGCCCGGCCATGCGCTGTGTCCTTTGTGTATGTGTGTGTGTGTGTGTGTGTGTGTGTGTGTGTGTGTGTGCACGCGCGCGCGCGCGCGTGTGCACCCGGGCGCGTGCGGGGGAGAGGTGGGGGGCGGGTTCGCGCGCACCCTGATCGCCCGGCGGCGAGATGATGCTCTGCGCGTTGGCTTGCCCGTGAGCGTCCCGGCTGTCGAACGCCATCGGCGACGTCGCCAGCAGCAGCGCGTCACGCGCCTGCTCACTGTCAAAATTGCCCGACCCGCAGAGGGACGCCGAGGCGCCCTTGCAGGAGCCCCTCAATGCGGGCTTCCACATCGCCAGCAGCGCCTGCGCCTGCTGCATAGACGCGGCGTAGGATCCCTGCAGCTCCCGGGCGCGCTCGCTGGCACCGAGGAAGCTACCGCTGTCTGTGCGCAGGCCCTGGGCTGCGCACAAAGGGGGCGCAGGGGGCAGGGGCCCCGTTCCCAAGCACGTGTGTGGGTGCAGGTGCGCAGGCGTGTGGCGCGGCCGCCCCTGGCCGGAAGCGACGGCCTGCGGGCACGGGCTGGCAAAAGGTCTGTCATGTGGTATGCAATTTTGTAGCTAAGTGCCTTTCCTGTGTGCGAGTGCAGGCGCACCATCTGTTTGATGGACGTAAGTCGTCATGGTAGCCAACCAGCAGCAGAGAAAGGTCCAGCCGCAGCGCCAGCAGGCCCAGCGCGCCCCGCCCGTCCGCGGCATGCGAGCCCTCTTGCCGGCACTGCCTGTGTCTATCCCTATACGATTGCCGCTTTTGAGATTGGGCGGCGCACGCTGGGCCCTGCGCCGCGCTGCTGACCAGGCCAGGGCCCTGTCTGTCTTGGTCCACCGCCGAAGCCGAACTTCCGCGCCTCGCACGGCAGTGCGCTGTGCTAGCCGCACTGCACAGGAAGCTACCTCCCTTCTATTTGTGAGTCATAATCATTGGCTTTCGATGACTGATAGTGCGAAGTCGATTTGCCCGGGCGCCTGCCCAAGCTGAGAAGGCCCGCCGCCTGGCAGTCGGTCAACTTATCGAGAGATCGCGTATAAGGTGATTGTCTCCGAGGCACACCCGTCCTGCGTCAAGACGTCGAGCCCAACAAGCCGGTGTTGACAGGCGTCAGAGTCTCCCGGTCATGGGGTATTATCCACGAGTGCGGTGTTTGCAGACAACAGCCATCAGAGATGTCAAGATCAATGCCTGTGTCGAGCATGAGCAGCGCGAGTTGAGCTGCACCCGCAGGCGCCGGCGCTGCGGATGAAGCCAGGTTGAAGCAGCGACACCCGGCCTGGCCCCTGCTTGGCGGTACGGTTTCCCTCCAAGATCACCAGCTTTTGGCCTTCCAACCACAACCCCAGGCTGGTCCCACATGACTATTGCATCGCTTGAAGCCGCGCGTTCGTGCCACATGCAGCTGCGCGGCCCCGCAGGCGCTGAGGGGCCACTTTGTCGCCCCTGTCCCGCACGTCGGGTCCATGTGCCGCCCCGGGTGTTCAACACAAGCCACCTCTTGGAGGCTCTCGAAGTTGGACAGTGTTGCAGAAAAGGCAGCCCTCACAGAGACAACCCCTGCGTTACTAGCAGACGCCAGCCGCACCAGGTGCAGCCACTTTCCACGCTGTGAGCCTCTCAGAGCGAGCTCGCATGTGGAAGAGGGAAGACGCAAACGGCGCGCGTGTGAGGGGCCGGGCAGAAACAGCACAGGCGGGACATGACGCAAGCTGCGAAACGCGAAAGCCCTCACGAGCGAACCAGGCAGAACCTGGGAGGACCCCGTGCCTGCGGCCCCCTCCAAGGCGCGCGCCCCCGGCATGCGCGTGCCAGCAGCCGCGGGCCCCAGGCCACACGGCCGCCGGCCCGCGGCTCGTCGGTTGGGCGTGATGAATCATCGGCCGGCCGTCTGAACTGACAGCTCCGGGTCGTCCGCCAGAATGGAGGCCAGCAGGCTCGCAAGCTCCGATGCTGGCTGCTGCTGCTGCTGCTGCTGCTGCTGCTGCTGCTTGCGCTGCTGCTGCTCGCACTGCTGCTGCTCGCGCTGCTGTTGCTGCTGCTCGCGCGGCCGCTGCGGGATCGGCGCAGGCGGCCGCGATTGCGGCGTGCCTCCGCCGGCCGCCGAGGAACCCCCCGCCTCGCTGCTGCTTGTAGTCGCGGCCGCAGCCCCGGTCAGGTCCCCAGCGCCGCCAGCGCCGCCGCCATCGCTGCTGCTGCTTTCGCTGCCGCCCGCCGTTGCCCGGCCGCCGCGCGCCAGCAACCGCACGAGCTCCGAGGGCCCTCCGTCGCCGCCGCTGTCGCCGCTCGCCGCGCCGCCGTGCGGCCGTTCGCTGGCGCCGCTGCTCCTGCGGCCGCTCAGGCTGCCGCCGCCCTCGCTGCAGTCACTGCTGGAGGCACGCAACTCTCTGGCGGGGCGGCCGGCAAGGGCGCCGCTGTCGCTGCTCGTGCCGCCCGCAGGCTCCCTGCTGCCTTCCAAAGCCGCCGCGCCCGCGCCTGCGCCCGCGCCCGCGGCCGCGGCAGCGCCCGCCGCCGCCGCCGCGCGCTGCGCGGCGTACTCGGC